GTAAATACACATTATTTGATTGGTTAGTTAATTAAAATCCTTAATACTTCATTAAATAAATATTAACTAGGCCTTATAATAAACACATGTATTTTTTTCTTTGGTCAAGTGTAGTCATTTTGATTTTTTTCAATTTCTTTTATTGTAGAGAGTGTTTCAGATGCCCCCATTTTCCCTGATGTGCCCACCTCCACTGTTTCTTCACCATCCCAGGCCTTCATCTGTCTATTGTCTGTGTCCATGGGCTATGATTATACTCATATAAGTTCTTTAATTAATCTCTTTCGGTCCTCCTTCCCACCTTCCCTCTGAGATCTTTCAGTCTGTTCCATGCCTGTGGATCTATTTTATTCATCAGTTTAGTTTGTTCCTTAGATTCCATATATAAGTAAGAGCATGTGGTATTTGTCTTTCTCTGAATGGCTTATTTTGCTTAATCTCCAGGTCCATCCATGCTGTCTCAAAGGGTAAGACATCCTTCTTTTTCACAGCTGCATAGTGTTCTATTGTGTAAATGTACCACTGTTTTTTGTTTGTTTGTTTGTTTGTTTGTTTGTTATCTACTCATCTACTGATAGACACTTGGGCTGTCTTCAGATCTTAGCTATTGTAAATAATGCTGCTATGAACATGGGGGTACATATATTCTTCCTGATGTGTGGTTCAGGATTCTTAGGATATACTCCTATGAGTATGATTACAGGGTCAAATGGCAGTTCCATTTTTAATTTTTTGAGGAACCTCCATACTGTTTTCCATAGTGGCTTCACCAGTCTGCATTCCTATCAGCAGTGCGGTAAGGTTCTTTTTCTCCACATCCTCACCAGCATTTGTCACTTGTTGATTTGTTTATGGTAGCCATTTTTACAGGTGTGTGGTGACACCTCAATGTAGTTTTAATTTGTATGTCTCTGATGTTTAGTGTTGTTGAGCATTTTTCACATGTCTGTATATCCTGTTGGCAGAAGTATCTGTTCAGGTCCTTTGCCCATTTTTAATTGGCTTGTTCATCTTCCTCTTGTTGAATTGTACGAGTTCTTTGCATATTTTGGAAATCAACCCCTTATCAGATGTATCATTGGTGAATATATTCTCCCATACCACAGGTTCCCTTTGCATTTTGAGGAGGGTTCCTTTTGCTGTGTAGGAGCTGTTTAGTTTGATGTACTCCCATTTGTTTATTTTTTCCTTTGTTTCTCTTGCTCTAGGAGATGTATGGGCAAAAATTCTGGCATGTGAAATATCTGAGATTTTACTGCATGCGTTTCTTCTAGGATTTTTATGCTTTCATGACTGACAATTCAGTCCTTTAACCATTTTGAGTTTATTCTGTGTATAGTGTAAGTTGGTGGTCTGGTTCCATTTTATTTCTTTCTTGTATCTGTCCAATTTTTCCAATGCTATTGAAGCAAATGTCTTTACTCCATTGTATGCTCTTGCCTCCTTTGTCAAATATTATTTGGCCATAGTAGTATGGGTCTATTTCTGAGGTGTCTGTTCTGTTTCATTGACCTATATGCCTGTTCTTGTGCCAGTACTAGGTTGTTTTGATTACAATGGCCTTGTAGTATAGTTTGATATCTGGTATTGTGATCCCTCTAACTTTGTTCTTCTTTCTCAAGATTTCTGCAGCTTTTTGGGGTCTTTTTTGGTTTCATATGAATTTTTGAAATATTTGTTCTAGTCCTGTGAAATATGCTGTTGGTATTTTAATCGAAATTGCATTGAACATATAGATTGCTTTGGTAATATGGGCATTTTAATGATTTTAATTCTTCCAATTCATGAATATGATATATTCTTCCACTTGTTTGTATCTTCCTCTATTTCTTTTTTTAGTGACCTGTAGTTTCCTGAGTCCAGGTCCTTTATATCCTTGATTAAGTTTATTCTCTATGTCTTATTTTTTATTGCAATGGTAAATAAATTTTTTTTTTTTTTTTTTTTTTTTTTAGTTTTAGTTTTCTTTCTGAGAGTTCATAACGGTGCATAAAAATACTGTCAATTTTTTTTTGTCCAGCGAGCGTGGTTCAGTGGTTGAGCATCGACCCTTGTACCGGGGCCATTTTGATTCCCAGTCAGGACACATGCCCAGGTGTGGATCTGATCCCCAGTGGGGAGCATGCAGGAGGTGGCCAATTGATATTCTCTCTCATTGATGTCTCTGTCTCTCTCTCTTCCTCTCACTTCTTATCTCTCTAAAACCAATAGAGGAAAAAACAAAAATTATATAAAAAAAAAAAAATACTGTCAAATTTTGTACATTGATTTTGTACTCTGCTGCCTTAACAAATTTATTCATTAAATCCACTAGTTTTTTGGTGGAGTCTTTCAGGGTTTCTTTGTACAATGTCTTGTCATCTGCAAATAATGACAGTTTTACTTCCTCCTTTTCAATTTGAATTCCTTTGACTTTTTCTTCTTTTCTGATCACCGTGGCTAAGACTTCCAGTACTATGTTGAATAAGAGTGGTGAAAGCAGACAACCCAGTGTTGGATCTGTTCTTAAGGGAAATGCTTTTAGTTTTTGTCCATTGAGTATAATGTTGGCTGTAGGTTTTTCATGTATGACCTTTATTATATTAAAGTATTTTTCCTCTATTCCCACTTTGCTTAGAGTTTTTATCAAAAATAGGTGCTGGATTTTATCAAATCCTTTTTCTGCATCTATTGATATGATCATGTGATTTTTATATTTCATTTTACTTATGTGATGTATCACATTTATTGTTTTGCCAATATTGTACCAGCCTTGCATCCCTGAAATAAACCACCCTTGGTTATGGTATATAATCTTTGTAATGTATTGCTGGATCCAATTTGTTAATACATTGTTGAGAATTTTTGCATCTATATTCATCAGTGATATTGGACTGTAATTTTCTTTCTTTGTAAAGTCTTCATCTGGTTTTGGGATTAGGATAAACTGGCCTTGTAGAAAGAGCATGGAAGTCTTCCCTTCTCTTGAATTTTCTGGAATAATTTGAGGAGACTAGGTGTTAATTCTTTCTGAATGTTTGGTAAAACTCACCTGTAAATCCATCCAGTCCAGGACTTTTATTTGCTGGGAGTTTTTTTAATTATTGCTTCAATGTCATTAGTTATAATTAGTATAGTCAGATTTTCTGATTCTTCCTGATTGAGTTTTGGAGGACTGCATGATCAAGAAATTTGTCCATTCTTCCCAAGTTGTCTAGTTTGTTGGCTTATAATTGCTCACAGTATTTTTTTTTACAATTCTTTGTATTTCTGTGGTGTCAGTTGTTATACTGTCTCTTTCATTTTTTATTTATTTGGTTACTCTCTCTCTTTGTTTCTTGGTAAGTCTGGCCAAAGGGCATTAATCCTCTTTATCTTTTCAATGAACCAACTCTTGGTTTCATTGATCTTCTGTATTGTTTTTTTAGTCTCTATGTCATTTATATCTGCTCTTATCTTTATTATTTCCTTTCTTTTACTTCCTCTGGCATTTTCTTGCTGTTCTCTTTCTAACTCCTTTAGTTATAGTTTTAGGTAGTTAATTAGAGTTTTTTCTTATTTCTTGAGATAGTCCTGTAATGCTACAAACTTTGATCTCAGGACTACTTTCACTATGTGCCATAGATTTTGGATTGTTGTGTGTTCATTTTCATTTGTTTCTAGGAAGTTTTTAAAAAAATTTCTTCCTTGATCTCACTGGTAAAACATTCATTGTTTAATAGCATACTATTTTGCCTCCATGTGTTTGAATATTTTTGAGGGTTTTTTTGTAGTGGTTGATTTCTAGTTTTATGCTATTGTGGTCCAAACAGGTGCTTGACATGATTTCAATCTTCTTGAATTTGTAGAGACTTGTTTTGTGTCCTAACATATGGTCTATCTTTGAGAATGTTCCATGTGCATGTGAGAAGAATGTACATTCTGCTGCTTTGGGATGAAATGTTCTGTAAATGCCAATTGAATCCACTAATTCTAGTGTGTCATATAAGGTCACTGTTTCCTTGTTGATTTTTTTGTCTGGATGATCTAGCTAATGATGACAATGGAGTGTTAAAGTCCCCTACTAAGACTGTATTGCTGCAATCTCACCCTTAGAGTCCATAAAGACATTTTTATATATTTATGTGCTCCTATAATGGGTCCATGTGTGTTTATAAGTGTTATATCCTCTTGTTGCATCAAAGTGTTTCATTTCCATTCACATGAAATATTTTTTTCCGTAACTTAACTTTCAGCCTCTTTGAATTTTTTATTCTGAGATGGGTCTCTTGTAGGCATCATATATATGGGTTATGCTTGCTTATTTTTTCAGCTACCTGTTTCTTTTTGGAGCATTTAAACCATTTGTATTTAAGGTTATTATTGATATGTATTTATTTAATGCATTTTTTTTCATTGTGTCTATGTTCTTTTCTCTATATATTTATTCTCCTTAAAGCAGTCCCTTTAGCATTTTTTGCAGTGCTAGTTTGGTGGTAATGAAATCCTTTAGCCTTTCTGTTGGAGAAGCTCTTTATTTCTCCTTAAATTTTAAATGATAGCCTTGCTGAATAGAGCAGTCTCAGTTGCAGGCTCTTCCTTTTCACTACTTTGAATACTTCATGCCAATCCCTTCTGGCATGAAGTGTTTCTCTTGAGAAATCCACTATCAGCCTTGGGGGCTTCCTTGTAGGTAACTAACTGTCTCTCTCTTGATGCTTTTAAGTTTCTCTCTTTGTCTTTAGCCTTGGCCATTTTAATTATGATGTGTCTTGGCATGGTGTCTTTGGATTCATCTCGATTGGGACTCTCTGTGCTTTCTGAACTTACATAACTTTTCTTCCACCGGGTTAGGAAAGTTTTCTATTATTATTTCTTCAAAAAGCTCTCTATTCCTTGCTCATTTTTTTCTCCTTCTGGTACCTCTATGATGTGTATATTGTAACATTTCATATTGTCCCAGAGTTCCCTTAAACTGTACTCATTCTTTCAAATTCTTTTTTGTTGCTGTTGCTCTGTTTGGGTGTTTTATTCAGCCTTGTAAAAATATGGAACACTTAATGAATTTGCGTGTCATCCTTGTTCAGGAGCCATGCTAATTTTCTTCACATTGTTCCAATTTTAGTATATGTGCTGCTTAAGTGAGCACTGTAAACATTGTTTTGTAAGTCTTCTCAAATTATTTTAAAAATTTTAAATTTTCATTTAAAATTATTTTATATTTGTTTATGGTGTATAGCATAGCAGCTAGACAATCATATAGTTTACAAAGTTGTCCCTTGATACTTAAGTACCCACCTGGCACTGTACATAGTTTTTACAGTATTATTGACTATATTAAATTGTTTTATTAACTTATATAAAACAAATTTATTTTTACAGTTTTGGAGTCTGAGAAATCTAAGGTCAGACACTGGTAGATTTGGTGGCTAGTGAAAAACTATTTTCTGGTATAGAGATTATATTTTTTTACTGTTTCTTCCCATTTTTTTAATCCTCATCTGAGGACATTTTTGCATTTATCTTAAGATAGAACAGGAGGGAGAGAGGGGAGAAGAGAGAAAGAGAGAAAAACATTGATGTGAAAGAGACACATTGACTAGTTGTCACCCACATGACCCCAACTGGAGCTAGGGACAAATAGCAACTGAGGTATGTGCCCTTAGTGGGAATCAAACCTGGGACTCTCTGGTCTGTGGGCTGACACTCTAACCACTGAGCAATATGGCCAGGGCTGTTTCTTCACATTTTGAAAGGGGTGAGAGATCCCTCCGGTGTCTGTTTTCTAAGGGTACTAATCCAATTCACGAGGGTCTACTCCTAGGACCAAGGTAACACTCAAAGATCCTACTTCTTAATAGCATCACATTGGACAATATGTTTCAATATATGAATTATGGGAAAGTTCAAACATTCAGACCATTACATAAGGCTATGTAAAAATGTTGATTCATTATCCTTAAATCCTTTTCATAAAAATATTTTTTTGAAAAACCTGCTGAATTATTACATAAATCATGTTTTTAACCAACATTCCCACATTTCCCCAACTCTGTAGCCATTGGTAATCACCAAGACTCTTTGTTTTTATGAGTTTGGCCTTTTTTTTTTTTTTTTTTTAATCCTCACCCGAGGACATTTTTTTGTTTTTTTTGTTCAGGTAGAGCGGGAGAGAGAGAGGAACAGAGAGAGAGAGAGAAACATCGATGTGAAAGGGACACATCGAGTGACTGCCACCCGCACGACCGACCAGGGCCGGGGACAAACTGCAACGGAGGTACGTGCCCTTAGCGGGAACCGAACCCGGGTCTCTTAGGACCGCAGGCCGACGCTCTAACCGCTGAGCCAAACCGGCCAGGGCGAGTTTGGCCTTTTTGATTCCACATATACATGAGGTTACACAGTATCTCTCTTTTTGAGTCTGACTAATTTTACTTAGCATATGTCCTCTAAGTCCATCAGTGCAGTGTTGTTGAAAATGGTAGAATTTTCTTCTTTTTCATAGCTGAACAATATTCTATTGCATATTTGCATATATCAGACCTTCTTTATCCATTCATCTGTTGATGGGCACTTAAGTTTTTTGTAAATTTTGGCTATTGTGAATAACACTGCAGTGAACATGAGAGTGCAGACATCTCTTTAATATGTCTTTATTTCCTTTGGATATTACCCAGAAGTGGAATTACTCAATCATATGGTAGTTCTAGTATTAATTTTTTGAGGAATCTCCATGCTGTTTTCCAAAGTGGCTTTACCAATGTACATTCCCATCGACAGTGCCCAGGTTGGTTCCCTTTTCGCCACATCCTCACCAACACTTGTTATTTCTTGTATTTTTTATAATAGCCATTGTAACAGGTGTGAAGTGATATTTCATTGTTATTTTTATAGACATTTCCTTGATGATTATTGAAGTTGAGCACCAAGACCAATATAAAGGAGCTTTTTCTTCATATTTTTTTCTGAGAGTTTTTCAATTTCAGGTCTCATGTTTAAGCATTTAATCTACTTTAAGACAACTTTTGTATGTGTTGTAAGATAGGAGTCCCATTTCTTTCCCATGTGTGGATAACTGGTTTCCTAATACCAGGTATTAAAAAGATAATCCTTTCTCAATTGAGTGTTCTCAGCTCTCTTGTCACACACCCTAGTGGACTCTAAATGCAAGGGTTTATTTCAGGGCTCCTCATGTAGTGGTATATAGGTGGTATGCTTTTGTTTCCCTTCTATCTTTTCTTAATCTGCCATAGGTTTTGCTTTGTGGCTAGCATGGGTCATATATAATACATCTTATGGATAAAACAACATTTTCAATCGCATAAAAAATTGTACTCTTTGTTTCCCCTGCTATTATGTGTTCATTAACAAATTAACTCTTAACTATAACTGTTTTTTAAAATTTTGTCCTTTAACCTTTATACTGGAGTTAAGTGGTAAACACATAACAATATTACAGTGTTTGAATGTTCTGAATCTGTTTATATTCTTAACTTCACCATGGTATGAATTAGCATCCTCCTTTTTCAGTTTGAAGGACTTCTTTCAGCATTTCTTATATGGTAACTCTAGTGGTGATGAAGTCAGAATTTGTTAGGAAGTCTTTTTATTGCTTTTATTTCTGAAGGACACATTTGCTGGGTAAAGTTTTCTTGGTTGGCAGTTTCTTTATTTTATGGGGTTCACAACATTGACAACAGTGTGGTCTATGGAAAGTGCTGAAGATGATCCACAGTGGCGGCAAGGGTTGTTGGGATCCTCATTGGTGCCACCAGGTCCAGCCGTCTGGGACACGTGCAGGCAGCAGTGGTGGCTAGAGCTGGTGTCGTGCACATTCTCGGCTGTGGGACCCAGCAGCAGGTACTTGTGTAGTGGTAGGAGCCAGCTGCTGAACCACTTGTAGTGGTGGGAGCCAGGCAGACAACAAGGTTCAAGGCTGACTGTGAGTACATGGCATCTGTGGGGGCCCTGGCTGTCAGTGAGACTCCTGTGTCTGCTGGAGTTCATCGTGGCTGCATGGCTGTAGAGGCTAATGATGGGGGTTGGGTCAGGTTGTGTAAATGCATAGCTGGAGAAGCTAGCTGCAGGTGAGTTCAGTAACAGAACACAAGGCCCCGTCTAAGTCAATGAGCAGCTCTGGGGGTCTCAGCTTTGGTGTGTTCTCCTCCATGGCTCCACAGTCTGCCTGCCAGGTACGCACATGCAGGGGAGGCTGGGATGGGTGTCAAGCTGGTGGTGTGCAAGTGCGTGGTGGGGGACAGATGTGGAGGTCCAGACTGGCATCTTCTCCATGCACAGCCACAGAGACCTAGACTGGCTGTCAGTGTGGTTCCTGGGAGCTGGGGTGAACATCTTCAGGGTATCCACAGTGGCTGTGCTGGCCATTGTTTCTTTAGTGGTGGAAGTTTCTGGGTTTACCTGGAGAGCAATTCACTGGTAACTGATCGCTTGTGCTGCGTTGCTGCTCCTGCTTTTCTGCCCTGTTCCTGGCCGTCTGGTCTCAGCTCTGCCAGGCCAGTGGGAGTGAAACCGAAGTGGGACCTTTGCACGGTGCCCTCAAAGGCTGGGGAAGCTGGTCTCTCACCCCGCTCTCCCATTTACAGCGAGAGGACTCTAGAATGGGCAGACCCCTGCTGGTACCAAACACTGCTGGCTTGCCGGACGTGATGACGCGGGCGAAATGAAGCTGTCTTTCTTCCCTGTTCATACGATTACTCTCAGCGTTTCACTGTGTAGCTGAAGTGTCTTCAGTGAACTCAGAGCTGTCCTAGAACTGTTTTTGTATGTGGACAGTTGTCTAATGGTTGATCTTTGTGGGAGAAACAGAAACTAGGGTCTCCTGTGCTGCCATTTTGGTGGAGTTATCACTCTGATGACTTCAAAAAAATCTTCATTTGAAAGATAGTTTTGAGGCATTGTGGTGGTCCAAAACTGAGACAGATGTAGATCCAACCTGTAACATATTTGGTAGAAACTATACTTTAAGTATGCAAATACTGTAATGCAATACAGACATTGATATGGTACTGGTACATTTTCTGACAACTTTAGTACATATATTGAGCAAATCCTAGTCTAGTCACTGCCAGCATTGTTTCCATTGCAAAGATAAGATGACTGAAGCTTAGTCAAGGCAAGGAATTTGTCTATGATGACATTTCTAATAATGGTAGAGCAAAGGTTTAAACCCAGAATATCCTAACTTTAGAATCCATGCTTTGAATAACACCTTTATTGCTTTTTCCTGTAAGAAGAGTTCTCTGATTCTTCTGGTTTTAGGATATGACTTTATACACACCGATATTTTCATACATGGGTGTAAGTTGAAAATTACAGTATCAGGTAACACTTTTATACACCCTATTGCCATTCTTATTAGAAGTGTACAGTGGGCGCAATGAATCCTTTTCACAATTTGTAATGATTTCTTATTACTAATAGATCTCAATATATTTTAAAAGCTCCTCTAGTTCCTAAAATGCAATAAATATGCAATTTCCCCATATGTTTATCCCTGTGTTATTATGGCCTCCAACATTTATTCGATGCCCAAATCACTTATTGACCACGTATTCCTCAGGCTCATATTTCCTTCAGTCTTCCAGAACATCCCCAAAATATGTAAGTGGTGCCAATGAAAGAAGGCTTGTAAGAGCACTGATTGTAAGAACATCCCGTTGATAGTGACCGAAAGTTTCCTGGAACTTTTTCTTTCATTACCCAGACTTTCCAATTTTCCGCTGTGTCCCCAAGCACATCATTGAAACCAGCACCAAACCATTTGCATACAGCTTGAGCCATTACCTGGTTCTCTGTGGAATGGATACTGAAGAGCATGTATTTCAGGGACTCACTCCACTGGTCTTCATCCCCAGTGGGCGGAGACAGGTACTAAACTACAAGAAGGAAGAGGTGGCTTCTCTTTTCCAGTTTGACCATTAAAGGTTTGACCACGAGTGACTACAGAGACTGGGATCCATTTTCTCACACTGTCTGTTGCTAGGATGTAAAGAATGGATAAAGGGATAAGACATTTTAGGAAGAAACTGCATGGGCAAAAACTTTGAGATGGGGAAGCTCACAGAAAACACCAGGAAGAGCTTTTCTCCCTGGTTTCTTGGAGTGCAGAAGTTCTAGGAAATGAAATAT